GTATCTTTTGACAGGTGTTGGTGGCGCACGCCTTTAATCCCAGCACTCGGGAAGGCAGAGGCAGGAGGATCTCTGTGAGTTCGAGGCCAGCCTGGTCTCCAAAGCGAGTGCCAGGATAGGCTCCAAAGCTACACAGAGAAACCCTGTGTCGAGAAAAAAAAAAAAAAAAGGTAGCATCTTCTACCTGTCCTCAAATACAAATCAAAACAGAATGGAGTCTTGCTTCAGCTTTGTTCTTACGCAGCAATCCAGTCAAGTAGTTTGTTTGGAAGGGAAAGCTGTGTGAGCATTTTTATTTAAAATAGATTTGTATTAAAAAGCACACATAATGATGGACAGTATTTCTGCCCCACAGATCACATTGTCCAGCAAAGAAAACAAAGTGGCTGGAGTGCCACTAACACAGTTGGAACATTTTAAAGCAGAACTCAAGAGACAACTGCAGAGGACTCAGGAATTCTGCACCCTTCCCTATAGAAATTTCCATACTCCATTTCTGCCCTGGTACCAATGCCGGGCCCATGTGTCCCACACCTTACCATAGACAGTTGTGAGCAACTGCCTTCAGATTTGAGGACAAGAGTCAAGCCTCACTTTTATTTGCATCTATACTTTGCACAGTGCCTGGTAGGAAGCAGACAGTAAGTATTGACTAGGAATGGTTAAAGGACTGATGAATGACAAATACATGCATGTTTTTTGTGGAAGTCTAAATTCAGGGTGATTTATCTCGGAACTGGAGCTGAGGATGAACATAAGTGACTCCTGCTCTCCCTGGAAGCTGAACTGGTACTCAAGGAACTTTCTCAACTGAAGTATATTTTCTTATATTTATTACCAAGTACCAACAAAAGGAATTTCAGGTAACTTAACCAAAATTTGTTCATCAACTTTATAAATTGTTACTTAGAATGTTGATGGTTTTGAGAAAACATAAAGCTAAAATTTTGTTCCTCCAAATATACTCATGATTACCAAATTACCAAAATTATAAAAAGAAGAGACAATGTTTTTTATTATATGTAAAGACAGCTCTGTCAAAAACATGGGCTGCCAATATACCCAACAACAACTAGACAGGTGCAAGGTAAAATCTTAGTTCTTTAGTGGCAGCAGCTGCATTTCAAGTTCTCAGTAGCTACATCGGGACAGATACCTCTTAACTTAGCCATGTAAGTGGAGAGCATGTCTGTCACCACAGGAGCTGGGTTATATGGAACTATTTGCAAGTACAGGAAGATGCAAAATTCTAAACACATTAGCAATAGCAATATAAGTTCAAGTGACACTTTGGCTTGCTACCTAACAGGAAGATAAGATACATATTTAGAAATGAGTAACAAACATTCAGCAATGAAGGATCTAAGGTTATAAAGTTACATATAGTTATTTTAGCATTTTTACCACATTGAAAATGAAATACCTGCAAGATACTTTAGCCTTTTATTTCTCAGATCATGACATGAATCCAGAGAATGGAACAGGAAAGACAATCACTCTTATTTCAGACAGTTAGAATACCCAAATAAAGCTACTATTGAATTACAAGGACTGAAAACATATGAGACTCTTGGCCTCTGGTTTCTAAAGTTTATGGTTCTGTGTATTAACTAATGTTTAAGTAAGTACACTCAAATTTTGAAAGGCATTTATTTCAAAAATAATTTTTAAAGCACACAGGAGATGTATATAATGGTAAAAGTTGTTCTTTGAAATACCCCAATTCTCTGAGGAACTCAAATTAATTTCTCTCTAGAAACGGTGGCAATCGAATGGAGTCCTTTATATTTGTGAGAACAGGGGAAGATTTTAATGAGCCCAACACAAGCCCTGGATAGTCAAAACTAACAACAGATAAACAAACAAAAAAGCCAACAAAACAGAACTCCAAAGCCCTCTCATTTATCTTTATGTCGACTTCATTCTTTGGGAGTATTTTTAGAACTAAGCTCTCGAATTACCTGTCTGTGGGAGGCTTATTCCTCATCAAACCAAAAATCTTACCTTCATATCTTTAATTAGCTCTTCAAACCAAACACTTCCCTACTGATAATTTTCTGAGTTCTAATTTTACTTTCAGAATGTTAGCATTTACATTTTACCTTTCAGCGGGCACTAAATAGTAAAATTTTAATATTTTGTCCACAGGGTCTAAAACTAAACCCCAAACACTTGCTAAATATTCTGAAAGATGGATTAATTATTTAATGATGTAGGGTGCAGTCAGAACATGAGAGCTGTTCTTTACTGCTGTTACTAACATGACCTCAACCCCAGCTTCCTCAGAGGTCTGGCACTTGAGATGGGAAGGATGCATACACTGAGCTCTTAATGTATAGTTATAAAATCGTATTCTGTGTATCAAGAGAAATTTAAACAATTACGTTCAAATTTTAAGCCACAAAATTTCAAGAGTAATTCATTTGAAAATACACAGAACAGTTAGGTGTGTAACGATAAGACATTAAAACATAGTGCAATGTCTTTGCTATAGAAGGACCTCGACACACACCAGCTAACTCTGCTGCAAATGAAGCCACAAAAGCTGACCCACAAATGCCTCATATGACTTACCCATGAGATGACATTTGCTATCTTCCTCTGACACTTCACCACATTTTTTCAAAGTATTATAATGATCTTCCGTTTCTATAAATAAACTTACACAAGATTCTGTCATAGCTACCAATTTAAATTAACACTGTCGAGGAGAAAACTGGTTTGGAAGCTGAGCAGCAGTAATGTATAGACTGCATGAGAGTGTGATGGGGAGGTCCTTCTGCATATATGTTTTCTTATTGGTTGATAAATCAAGCACTGGCTTGGCGTAAAGATTTATCGTTACAAGAGTGGATTACCATTAAAAGCACAAGAACTGTACAAGCACTTGCTAAGAAAATCACTGGGCTGATTTAAGTGGCAGGCACATTTTCATAACACAACTAACATACACGTTGTACAAGAGAAATGGGAATAGCAATGTCCAGTGGGTATAAAATTTATCCTTTGTGACTCTGGACAATAGTCACAGCATTTGCATAATTAATAAACAAGCATGGAAGTCCTACTTCTACATTGGCTTTTCAAAGTCTCCTAACAGCCTGTACACTGTTCATGTAACTTTCTGGAACAAACCTTACTGATGAAACGTAAACCATAATATCTGACTTTGTTGTTTACATTACACAAAACGAATAGCTAGACCCTCTTCAGACAATTCAATTCTGCTTTATTCATACAGACCAAACGCCGCTTGCTTCAAGCTAATTCTAAGGCTAGCTTCATCCTTCAGTTATAAACACAGACACAATGGGAAATATTATTTACATAAACATGAACTAACCGTCGGGCTTACTTCAAGAGCTGAGACGTCATTTACCTACGGCAATGGAACAAACAGCAAGTACCTTTTAATTATTCTGAATTGTAAAATCTAGTATGACCCCTACAACTCCGCACAATTTATTCCTTCACAACCTGTTACGCTACACGTGTATATGTATGTGCTTATATATCACATCACATTGCGGAACTGAAATTCAATTTCCACGACGCTTTTCTCTTGAGATTTTGTGTCAAGTCCTGAATGCCTGCACTTCCAGCTCTCAGAAGAAACCGCCCAGCCGTGTCTGGGAGCACCACACTTCAACTCCGGGAGACCTGAAGTTTTACAGGCACCCTGCCACGTCCCAGGGTGTCTAGAGTAAAAGCAAGCCTGCCTCACTTTTTCCTTTCTCGAATGGAGAAAGTGTTTTATGTTTGCCACCTCCACTCTTGGGAAGAAAGATCCTTCAGCACCGGAGGTTAATGTCACCGCTGGAGACCCACACTGGCGCTGGCTCGCTCGCTCGCTCGCTGGCTCGCTGGCCTCGTGACGAGACTGGGATGCATTGCTTCGGGAGATGCAGGAGTAAGAGCCAACTCAACCCCAAAAGCACACTACCTGTAGCTCCCTAAAAGAGGGTCGGGGTGTCGGGGGCGCTGGGAGGAGGGGGAGGAGCCGAGGGTGCGATCACAAAAGGGACTTCTTTTCAAGGACCATATTTGGGGAAGCCTTGCAGAC